ATCAATGCAATACAGTACGCATCACTCGCCCTGCATCACACCAACCCTCGTCCCCAATCTCCAGTATGTGCAATACAGTACGCATCAATCGCCCTGCATCACCCAACCCTCGTCCTCAATCTCCAGTATGTGCAATACAGTACGCATCACTCGCCCTGCATCACCCAACCCTCGTCCTCAATCTCCAGTATGTGCAATACAGTACGCATCACTCGCCCTGCATCACCCAACCCTCGTCCTCAAACTCCAGTATGTGCAATACAGTACGCATCACTCGCCCTGCATCACCCAACCCTTTATTACGCATCACTCGCCCTACATCACCCAACCCTCGTCCTCAATCTCCAGTATGTGCAATACAAGGTACCACTCGTCCTCAATCTCCAATCTCCAGTATGTGCAATACAGTACGCATCAATCGCCCTGCATCACCCAACCCTCGTCCTCAATCTCCAGTATGTGCAATACAGTACGCACCAATCGCCCTGCATCACCCAACCCTCGTCCTCAATCTCCAGTATGTGCAATACAGTACGCATCACCAAACCCCGTCGTCCTCTCTCCAGTATGTGCAATACAGGTACGCACCAACCCTCATCACCCAACCCTCGTCCTCAATCTCCAGTATGTGCAATACAGTACGCATCACTCGCCCTGCATCACCCAACCCTTTATTACGCATCACTCGCCCTACATCACCCAACCCTCGTCCTCAATCTCCAGTATGTGCAATACAGTACGCATCAATCGCCCTGCATCACCCAAATACCTCGTCCATCAATCGTCCTCAATCTCCAGTATGTGTGCAATACAGTACATCACCCAACTCGTCCTCAATCATCACTCGCCCTGCATCACCCAACCCTCGTCCTCAATCTCCAGTATGTGCAATACAGTACGCATCACTCGCCCTGCATCACCCAACCCTCGTCCTCAATCTCCAGTATGTGCAATACAGTACGCATCACTCGCCCTGCATCACCCAACCCTCGTCCTCAATCTCCAGTATGTGCAATACAGTACGCATCAATCGCCCTGCATCACCCAACCCTCGTCCTCAATCTCCAGTATGTGCAATACAGTACGCATCACTCCCTGCATCACCCAACCCATCCTCACTCCAACCCTCGTTCTCAATCTCCATCACCCAACCCTCGTCCCCAATCAATACAGTACAGTGCATCACTCGCCCTGCATCACCCAACCCTCGTTTATTACGCATCACTCGCCCTCATCATCCAGCCCTCGTTCTCAATCTCCAGTATGTGCAATACAGTGCAATATCAGTACGCACAATCAATCGCTACATCACCCTCAACCCCCTCGTCCTCAATCTCCAGTATGTGCAATACAGTACGCATCACTCGCCCTGCATCACCCAACCCTCGTCCTCAATCTCGGTATGTGCAATACAGTAGAGCATCAATCGCCCTGCATCACCCAACCCTCGTCAATCTCAATCTCCAGTATGTGCAATACAGTACGCATCAATCGCCCTGCATCACCCAACCCTCGTTCTCAATCTCCAGTATGTGCAATACAGTACGCATCACTTGCCTGCATCCCAACCCTCGTCCCCAATCTCCAGTATGTGCAATACAGTACGCATCACGCGCCCTGCATCACCCAACCCGTTGTCCTCAATGTCCAGTATTTGCAATACAGTACGCATCGCTCGCCCTGCATCACCCAACCCTCGTCCCCAATCTCCAGTATGTGCAATACAGTACGCATCGCTCCCCCTGCATCACCCAACCCTCGTCCCCAATGTCCAGTATGTGCAATACAGTACGCATCACTCGCCCTGTGTCACTTAACCCTTGTCCTCAATCTCCAGTATGTGCAATAAAATACGCATCAATCATCCTGTATCACCCAAACCTCGTCCTCAAACACATACCATCTTTCATAGATCACACATCATCTACCCGATACCACATACAAATCACTTTATTTCCACCAATATGTGCAATACAATCCGCATCACTCGCCCTACATCACTCAACCCTCACTTTCAATCTCCAATATGTGCAATTTATTGCGCATCACTCGCCCTACATCACCCAACCCTTTATTACGCATCACTCGCCCTGCATCACCCAACCCTCGTCCCCAATCTCCAGTATGTGCAATACAGTACGCATCAACTCGTCCCCAATCTCCAGTATGCATCATCAATCCAACCCTCGTCCTCAATCTCCAGTATGTCACAATACAGTACGCATCCACTCGATCCTCACGCATCACCCAACCCTCGTCCTCAATCTCCAGTATGTACGCAATATCAGTACCCTCGCATCTCCAGTATGTGCTCGCATCGCTGCATCACCCAACCCTCGTCCTCAATGTCCAGTAGGTGCAATACAGTACGCATCACTCGCCCTGTGTCACTTAACCCTTGTCCTCAATCTCCAGTATGTGCAATAAAATACGCATCAATCACCCTGTATCACCCAAACCTCGTCCTCAAACACATACCATCTTTCATAGATCACACATCATCTACCCTGTACCACATACAAATCACTTTATATCCACCAATATGTGCAATACAATCCGCATCACTCGCCCTACATCACTCAACCCTCACTTTCAATCTCCAATTTGTGCAATTAATTGCGCATCACGCGCCCTACATCACACAAACCTCATCCTCAATCTCGAGTATGTGCAATTCTGGAGATTGAAGTGGAGGGTTGGGTGATGTGGGGCGAGTGATACGTACTGTCACTAATCACACGTCCGATATAACATATAAAACTCTCGGACAAAACACAAATATCATCGATAAGACGAACATAGTTCGGGTACTGTAATGTTAGTGTACCTACAGATGGACCAGGTTCATGATGTACTGAATCAGTCCACTGATCCATGAATCACCCACCCCTCTATTCATCACTGGTCCGTGGCGCAGTGCAGCATCTTCCCTTCACCTTTCATCGAAACAAGAATATGGGCCCCATTGCTTGAACACAAACACAACACAAGTGTTTAGCTCGGAGACAAAATCGTCTTAAAAATTAATGACCGCAGTATAACACATGGCTAACGCTATACTCGTGGACAGTCACTGTCACAGAACGGTCAACGTCCGCTCCCTGTTAAGGTCTAATGAAAAATAAACATTCATTTATTTCTTAATAAGGCATCCTGTGATGTCCAAGCTCGACCCTTAGCATGTGACGAATGCGCGTGAGTATGTATGAGAGAAAGAGAGAGAGAGAGAGAGAGAGAGAGAGAGAGAGAGAGAGAGTGAGATGTGAGAAGATACAGTGAAAGTGGGTGAGGGAGAGAGGAATATTTATAATAATATAGGAGAGGAAATTAGATAGGTATTTAATAGATGGGGAGAGACAAACTAAGAAAACAGAGAATATTTATATAAAGAGAGATTAGAGAGAGAGTGTGTGTGTGAGAGCGCGATAGACAGAGGAGAGACAAACTAAGAGAAGCAGAGAGGGAGAAAGAAAAGGAATATTTATAAAAAGAGAGAATGAATATAATTATAGAGAGAGAGAGAGAGAGAGAGAGAGAGACGGTGTGTGAGAGAGAGATAGACAGAGGAGAGAGACAAACTATAAGAGAAGCAGAGAGGGAGAAAGAAAAGGAATATTTATAAAAAGAGAGAATGAATATATAGAGAGAGAGAGAGAAAGAGAGAGAGACGGTGTGTGAGAGAGAGATAGAAGAGAAGGAGAGAGACAAACAGAAACAGATAACGTTTGCAATATTCCAACTCTAACGACGACCTGTTTCTATTTCAATTTCAACCAATCCACCCGGTAGACCACCCGATCCAATAGAATCCTGCTACAACCAAACAATTGGTTTCTATTTGTATCCGGATCCGGGGTATGTGATCGATGGGAGATAATGAACTCAAGAACGATTCCCCCTTTCCACCCTGAACTCAGAAATACGTCAAAGTAATCGAAGATATTCATATTAAAAGGTCCTGCTCCAGGGTACAAGTATAATATTTAACAGGAACGTTTTCGACGTCAATGTCCCCTAACGCGCATCATATGCTAAGGTGTACTACTCAGATCTTTATCCAATGCCCTTGTACGGTAATCTTATTGTAATATACATGTCAGACACCGAGCAATCGATACGTGCGAATACGTTTAATCTGCTGACGTTGTAAATATCAACATTTAGGTGTTCCTAATTTAATTTACTGCAAAGTAACATACAGCATGCGGCATGTTGAACTAAATCTCACGATCTTAATCAAATTTGTAGCACGAACTCCATCTTCAATTATAATGTCGACTTGATTCTTGTATAATCAATCTCTCTGTCCGTGGTCGCGAATGCATTGCTACTATGTCCACTAACTCTGTTACAGAATAACCGACCCCTCTGGTTGCTGAGACGGAATTTTAAGCATTAACTGGAATGGTTATTAGAAGACATACAAAAATGACAATCTTATTAACCGTAGTTCTATTTGTTGAGCAGATAAACATAGTCCTATCCTGTTGTAATTGGCGACACGATAATGGCATACAATCATTCAGTTTAGTTTATTAATTATGTAATGTGTCTCAATGATTGCTACAGTAATCTGATCGAAGTCAATGATATTGACAGTAATTCGCATCCAAGTTACCGTTAGATAACGGTATTCGGTTTCGCCCTTTGAAGTAGCACACGAATACACCCTGCACTAAACCGCCCTGATAGATCTTTTTGCATGTGATAACAAAACCAATGAACTTCTTATATCACATCCAGTATCCACTTAATAGTATACATGTATATTCAAAATAAATAAGTTCAACAATTTTGAATTATTACTGAATGAAAAACTGCATTACGAAACAATAACCTATATATTTTGTTGACAAATTTCGATCAATTCACGTAATGTTACGACAGGTGCTGCTGTCAGAGGCGTCGACGCTGACTGGCATGCATGGGACGACCTCGACTACATACAAGATTGATGATGCCCACAGTGGCGGATATACTAAAGGAGCCAATATACTCACCAGTAGTCCGCGCCTAGGGATTGTTTGAGAAACAAATCCAGCACGATGCAGTCAATCATACGAATCCACTCAGGTTTTGAAAACGTCACTTGATAGGAAAATTAGATACTGTCACTCCACAAGCACCGTGTGCCGGCTACGCGGTCAAATACTGGTGATTTGCTTCCCGAGCGGAGACGACGAACAGTGTTGCGGCTTGCCGCTCAACTAGAAGCCTTGTGGACGGACGGGCCTCCAGCGTAGCAGTGTAGTCACGGCAGTCATAGCGGCACATCATCTCGGGGTTCACCTCACTTCATCACTATGAACACACTTTGGTTCATCTAGCCCCTACAAAACAAAGTCTTTATTCCACAGCAGTGGAACTACTTACTAAGCAAAGAAACACAATTAATGTATAAAAGCATTCAAGATGGAACGGTGGGTTTTTTCTCTTTACGTATGTTGATCGATGGATAAGGGATGTATACAAAGCTTTATTAACTGGCTAAATAATGACGTAGGTTCTAATGGAGGTGCTTTGTTACGTGTAGGTAGAATGGGAAGATGCTATGGCACGTTGACGGCAGCATCAGCAACGACTGTATTGACTCGCTGGCAATTCCAGATATTGATAGAGGCATCAACAGCGACGAGCAACGTGCTCCTTATCGCATAATACATTCCAATACCTTTGAAAAGGTATCGCAGGCGAATTTAATATGCAGCTAGTCATATGTGAAAACATTTGCAGTGAGTTGCAATGTTTTATTCATACGTTCTTTATGTGATGATTTTATGCACATATTTACTTCCTTTCGTTTGATAGGAGCATTTTGATTGACAGCCGTGAAAGAACAAGCCGTTCCTTAGCGATGCATGAAGTCAAAGAGTTTTTTGTGATGCTGATCTTTGAGCGTGCTTGGGCATGATCACAATCGGAGTTGATGCAGGGTGCATGATGTAATTGGTGAGATGCTTTCACACCTGTTACACCAACCAGCATCACACGTAACCTATAACGACATACCATGCATATGGACAAAGGGTCACACAGCTACCGTCGTACAACAAACTCTTTCACCTGAATGCTTAATGAATATCGTTAACATTTTGTAAATGAGTGAGTGAATGAGTCTAGTTTTACGCCAAGTCAGCGAGCCTGACCACCCGATCTCGTTAGTCGCCTCTTACGACAAGCATGGGTTTCTGAAGATCAATATTCTAACCCGGACCTGCACGGGTATTAATGAATACAGAAGAAGATATGTTTGTTTAACGCCGCACTCACCAATATTTCAGCAATGTGACGGCGGTCTGTAAATAATCGAGTCTGAACCAGGCAATCCAGTGATCAACAGCATGAGCATCGATCTACGCAATTGCGATACGATACATGTGTCAACCAATTCAGCGAGCCTGGGGAGCAGGACAATTGCCACCGGACAATTGCCACCCAGGACAATTGCCCCTCAGTTATTTTTACTATAATAGTGAAGACAATTGCCATCCAGAATTTGTAAGTAATTTTAGTTGAGAAAATGAATGCAGGTTGTCAATAAACACAACTTTAGATGATGAAAAGACAATGTTTTCTTGGGATATTCATTTTCTGACTTTGATCAACTTTTAACCTTGAAATAATTTTGAGTTTGATGAAAACTGTTTAACTTGAGACATAGTTTCTAATATTATTGATACACATGCATACAAGTAACGATCGCCCGGCCAGCTGGGGCCTATTAGACGCCATTGTTATTAAGTTCAATATATGATAAAGCACTATAAGTGCTTAGATAAAATGTACATACAATCATTAGATATACATTCTTAAAATATCAGATATAAGTTAAAATATCAATTCAGGTGGGAGTGGTGAATAATCTATGTTTAAACATAGTTGTAATAAGTGCAGCTACGGAATTCGATAAATCGACCATCCGGTCCCTTTTGTCACCTCTTACAACAAGCATGGGTTGCTGAAGATCAATTCTAACCCGGATCTTCACGGGTCTAAATAGAAAGAAGATGGATCAAAGGAACACGGTGTTTTATTTATTCTAATTGTACATGTGGAGCAGGTTCGGTCAGTTGAGAAGCTAATTCATATGTAAAATCTAAGTAACCAAAAGCCAAAGTACATTCAAAGATAAACTATATGCATTCAATATGTGCAAATACAACATTGATATACCTGGAGATTATTGTAGGACGAGGCGCCCGTCAATGTTTAACATTAATGAGATTGCCTCGGTAAATGTTTTATTTTAGCATCAATTTTCACGAGGAAGAAGAACTGGTCACGTGGTAGCACATGTAAATGTTCTCAACAAGAGAAGCTTCACACTATACTTCAGACCTACAGTGTCTGTGGTAATCACAAGAGGTTACACAATGGACTCCGTCTTCAATGGCGTTACGTAATATACACGTCTTCTCCTCTGTAGTCCTCCCAGGGCGAGAAAACATTCCAACAATGTTCACAACGAAGCTTACTTAAAATGTTTCTTTGAGATCTACTTTAAATCAAATTAGCATTCGGATTTTGCCGTTAAAGAGTCCCTAATGTATCAGATCGGTACTTGTTCAAAATGTCGTTAAGCAATACAAAGGCGTTATCCTCCCTTGACATCATATTTTCAGCAAGAAATGTTCTGTTGAAGGAAGAAACATTATTGACAAAATCTACAAAATGATAATATGTAGTATTACAATATTGTACCCAGGTGTTCAAGGCGTGTTCTTCTTGATATTGTGTGGGTGATGATATCGGGATTAAGCAACTAAATATCAGGTTTATCCTTAAAGATGAAGCTGTTGACTACCTCTTGGTCGGAGACTCTGGTCCATGCCAATGGCAGACGTAGGTGAATAAACTTCAGGCACATGTGAGAAAACCGGTCTTGTGTATTTCCTTATTGATCAAGAGAGGAGGAGGAGGGGGAGAAAGAGTCAGAAAAATACGGGAGGCATGCGTGTTGGGAGGGGGGTTGGGGGTCGTAAATGTACCGATTCGCACAGGTTTGCATTTCGATATACAAAAATTTAAAGGTGTGGACCTCCCCCTCTCACTACTATTCTATGTTTATACTATCATCGCCGTTATCACTGTTACGCTATGTTTATACTATCATCGCCGTTATCACTGTTACGCTATGTTTATACTATCATCGCCGTTATCACTGTTACGCTATGTTTATACTATCATCGCCGTTATCACTGTTACGCTATGTTTATACTATCATCAACTGTTATATGCATATACTGTCATCACCTCTACTAGTACTGCTATATGTTTATACTATCATCACCTCTAATAGTACTGTTATATGCTTATACTGCCATCATCTCTATCAGTACTGCTATATGCTTATACTATCATCACCTCTGTCACAACTGTTAGATGCGTATACAGTCATCACCTCTACTAGTACTGCTATATGCTTATACTATCATCACCTCTAATAGTACTGTTATATGCTTATACTGTCATCACCTCTAATAGTACTGTTATATGATTATACTATCATCACCTCTGTCACAACTGTTATATTCTTATACTATCATCACCTCTGTCACAACTGTTATATGCTTATACTGTCATCACCTCTAAGCATACTGTTATATGCTTATACTGCCATCACCCCACCAGTACTGCTATATGCTTATACAGTCATCACCTCTAACAGTACTGTTATATGCTTATACTATCATCACCTCTGTCACAACTGTTATATGCTTATATTGTCATCACCTCTACCAGTACTGCTATATGCTTATACAGTCATCACCTCGCCCAGTACTGTTATATGTTGATACTGTCATCACCTCTAACAGTACTGTTACATGTCTCCACTAGAGTGAGTGAGTGAGTATGGTTTTACGCCACTTTTAAAATATTCCAGCAATATCACGGCGGGGAACACAGAAATGGGCTTCACACATTGTACCCACGTGGGTCTGTACCAGAGACTAGATTCAATTCAACACACAACCCACCGCATCCTTCACATCATGAACACATTTCCACTGTGGCAAAACCCAATAACAGGTATCGGAAAGTTAGGACACCATTCAACAATTATCTGCCTACCATTATCGTATTATCACATCTTAGGCTTCGGCATTTACAATTTTCAAAATGGCGTCAAGTAAGTGCGTAGCAGAGTCGTCTTTCTTGGCAGTGCAGAATACACAGTCATGAGGACCAGTCGTGTTCTCAGATCTCCAAAGGTCTTCAATAACTCTCGTGGGCTGTTACGGAAGACGCGAGAGTATCCTCAACACATTAAAGAAGAACTCTGAGCTATCAAAGCCTGACAGCGCCATCAAAGGTGCCTCCTTTCTAAGGGAGATAATCGAAAATAGGAATCCCTGATGAGCTATGCATTTCGTTCCCTCGTATAATCAGGTATATTATCTTGGCTTGTTACTGAAGCTCCATTGAACCTGCTAGGGGGTTCAACCTTGGCTTTTATTCCTGTCATATCTTTGCATTGCTGATTATCAAAAGCAAATTATAACTTTTTATCTTCTTCTAGGTTTCTTGACATGAGAGAAGAAAAATTCAAAGACTATTCTAAATCTGAATAAAGACGGGTATAAACACTGATCATAAAGTAGACTCATATAGGATCCAAACATCAAAATAGACCTTTGTCGGTCAGCACTATAGTAACTGACATTAAAGTTGAAATACCTTGCAGCATTACATAAGGAAGTTACATGATTTGCGTCACCGACCAATTAACTAGTTGCAAAAACGGAGAAGAAACTCTGACTATGAGGATGTAATTAACTTGTTTGTAATCTGTAGCTATAGATGCTCATAAAGTGAAAGTATGATAAGGTTTGTTATCTGTATATTACAAAAGATGAAGTTCAGTGAACATGTTTAAGAGTAAAGATTATCCAACATGCGTTGTATCCTTTTTAAGATTTTTTTCAAAGTTAAGAATGTATTCATTAGACCTTGAGATCATTTGAAAATAGGACGTTTACTCAGTCTGACATGAACAATGTCGTACTCACACTGAAGCGGCATATCTCAGTTTGTTGTTGTTGTTGTTGTTGTTCGAGTCTGTCTTGGTTTTGTATTAAAGGCGGCCTTGTGCACAAACGAGTCTGGACCAGCAAATACAATGGTTAACACCATGAGCATCGATCTACGCAGTGGGATACGATGACATGTGTCAACCAAGTCATTGAACATGACCGTTAGTCGCCTCTTACGACAAGCATGGGTTGCTGAAGACCAATTCTAACCCGCATTTTCCCGTTTTGTGGGGATTGTTTTATTCTTAGGTGAACGATTGACTTGCCTTAGGGTGTATTTGTCACATTTGT